AAAAGATATTATTTTGAATAAATTCAAAGGTAGAGCAATTATTAAGTATATGATCCATGAATGGTGGGCTATTACAAACCAAACAGTTAGATGACTCATCGCCACTCAATGGGTACTCATGAGAAAGCTTTAAATGTCACATACGCGATCGAGTAAAACTTTGACATTTACTAATATTAATCAACTTGTAACAATGATTGTATGTGGACTATTCCATTGTTTCTTCGTTTTCCATATTTTTTTTTATAATATAGAATATATTTTTTTCACATAAAAAAAAAACAAGACTGAATAATTGGCGGCACAGGCAGCTGCTAGTTCCTTTAATTTTGTAAGGATAATGTATGCAGTTATTTCTGATAGCGTAGATACTTGCGCTGCCATTATTAAGACTTTTTTACTGCTTTAAAAACTATATTTCATTCGAATACCAGAGAATACTAAAGAATTCGAAATCGAATTCGATTTAATGAATTTTTTTTCGAATGTGCTGTGCAAGAAACCATTAGCTGATTTGGGCATTTTGTGTATACCTATATGTTATCATGTATGCATCTGTACATCCTACATATGTATATGTATATATACATATACATATATATATATATGCTATATATGTTATAAAAAAATTTATATATTATTTTAATTAGCAAATTTCAGAACAAAATACTTTTATATCAAATTAAAAATTCTTTGATTCACTCATTTAACAAAAGTGAACTGTGAATAAGTGAAGATTATCAACATTATAAGCAATAAAGAAAAATGCTGCTAATTTAACGACAAATGCTTGATCAACGCCTACGGAAGTACGTACTAACTTTATGCCAACAATAAAATTTTGACGAAAATGTAAACAAAAATGCAGCTCTGGTTCAAAACATGCGATTTGCACATAAAATTAAAACCAAAACCCGTAAACCATTAACCGTAAACCGAACAGATTGTGGCAAAAAATTAAGTTGACAAAAACAATTAAAATCTACATAAAAAATTTTATTTAACTTGGACTTCTAAAATAAAAATACAATAACAAAAACTGTATCAATAATAAAACAACAAAAGCAGCCTATAATGACTAGAAATTTTTTACATTATTTGCTTTATTACTTGAAGACACTCCAATTTATACTAATGACGGCTACATAAAGTGATACCAACAACAAACATTATGACAAACATAAAAAAGAGATCAGAGCGATAAAACAATAACAACATACATACGATAATGAAATGGTGTAGTAAAATAGAAAGGCAATAAAAGCAAATGCAAAAACAACGAGGATGACAACAACAACATTAATTAATGATAAAAATGCAGTTATTTTAGCTTGTAATTGCGTACAGATTTTCATTTCTTATAGCTCCACTTGGTTTGTATTATTTTAACTTATGTATATTTGTATGTATGCATATATATATATATATTATATATATATATAATAATATATATATATATAATATATAATATTAATATATATTATTAATATATTATATATAATATTATAATATATAATATATGTATGTATGTATCGTGTTAATGCAGCTAAGCCTAAACTAACAAAAATTTTTAATGATAACCATGACAAACAAATCAGTTAACTTTTTATGCTTAAACATTTTATACACATAGCATTATTGAAGAAAAGCAATTAATTTTAGCATAGCAAAATAGCAACAAATAAAGCGCGTCATTACACTTGATTTTCACAAACTTTAACACTCAAATTGTATTATTAATCACTTTTAGTTTTCTGGCACTAACAAATAAACAAGAAAAAACTAAAGGACAAAATAGCGTTCAACAATAAAAGTAAAGCAGCAAAATCCACCAGCAAGGACAACGTGGCATGAAGCAGAAGAGAAGAAGTAAGCATGCTTAACAGAAGCATTTCTTGGTGTCGTCTACTATATTTGCATGCATCAAGCACAACTGCGCAGCAAACAGCATAATAAGATGAGCAGAGGTAAAGCAGAGAGGCAAGCACTAAGCACCACCACACAACAGTACGTGTGTAGGTAATAGCACAGGCAGAACCTATTTATAATTTAGGCAACAATAATCAAATAAAACTTTTGTCATTTACATTTGAAAACTCAAATTTTAATTGAGTTTTCTTGCTTCATTGTTTGATCAACGGCATGATGATGATGATTATGATGATAATGTTGACAATAATAATGATAATGACAAAGAGCAATAAAATTGGTTTAGGCAGTTAGCTAAATTAAAACTTGAGGTAGACTACTAAATTTATGTAGGGCAGGCACACACACAAGCAATAGCACGTAACAGAGTATGAAAGCAAAAAGAAAAACAAAAATATTGTAGTATTGATGACAACAACAACAACCAAATATTTAAAGCAGATATAACAAAAACAAAAATATTAACGGCCACACAAAGCTATAAATTTGTACCATAAGCACAATAAGCACAATAATTACAATAACAGCA